ATTCACCGTTTAGGGTCAAAACAAGCCCTGTCGAATCTCCCAGCAGCCCGTTAGACTATTACCCCAGCTGTGTTTCCTCTGGGGTTCCCCAAATCCTCTTACCCCCAACCCAAGACCTTAAACCTTAAACTCCAAACCTAAAACCCTACACCCTAAACTCTGCAGTCAGTACTCAGAACCTTCATCTCTTGGCAGGCCAAGGCTGTTCTGGTTGGCTACCTAGCCGTCACTATTTGAGTTATAAGTTATAAGTCTGAACACCTTACAGGGGCTATAAAAGGTTTTTATAGGCAGTATTCGGGTGGTTATTAAAGGGGATGCTAGGACTTCAGACTATAGCCCTTGTTGGTTGATGCTGTTAGGGTTCAGGGTTGGTTGATGGCTCCGTGCTTCTGATGCTCGATTGGGCAGTGCTTTAGTGTTTCTATGCCATTGAGACCCTAAACCCTAAACCCTCAACAACAATGCCTTGGTTACCTGTTACCTTCGGAGTGCTCCCTAAAAAATTGAGTGCTTCACCAACCTCGGAAGGGAGCATGGGCGCGGTTTGGGGTTTAAGGGTTTAGGGTTTAGGGGTTTGGGGTTTAGGGGTTTAGAGTTTAGGGGCTTATCGTTTTCCAGGAGATGTGAGGCTCTGTGTTTACAAGGGCCCTAAACCCTGAACCCCTAAACCCTTAGTTCCGAAATCCTAAACAGGTTAACCCTAGACCCGTAAACCCAAACCCTTAACCTCTAAATCCTCAAAGGTCTCAGTTTTGGGTTCCCGGGGCTGGACAGACCTGCAGACCGGCTGGCAAGAGGAGGAGGGTGGTTGTTAGGAATACGCCGCACGCTGTACAAGTGATTATAAGGGTTTAGGGTTTTAGGGTTCAGGATTCAGGGTTTAGGGTTTACTGCGGACTCTTCCACCCCCCATGTCCTTTCCACAAGAGAACTCAATAGAACCCACAAGAGAACCCAATAGAATCCACAAAGGAACTCAATAGAATCCACAGAAGAACTAAATGGAATCCACGAGAGAACTTCATAGAAACCCCAAACTTTAAAACCCTAAAGCATAACCCCAAACCTTAAACCACAAAACCTTCTTTTCAGCCTGGAGATTTGTCAAGGTTCGCGTCCTCCAAAAGGACCTAGGATGGGTCACATCGGAGACCTGGGAGACCCGCCAATCTCATGAATGGCAGGCTTGGCTCAGGAGCACAGGATCCCTCCCTTCACTGGGTTGCTGTTAAGG